AAATGAAGAGAGAAAATCGATTCTTCCTTGAAATATGGTATGAAACGAAAATTAAATACAGATATACAATTATGAGAATATTTTTTTAAACAGGCCGAGAGGTATATTTGTGTGAAAAAATAATGGGAATTCTTGAATTCGGTGAGCTTTTTTTTTATTTTCTATCCTTTTCTGGCTGATTTCGTCCAAAAGTAGTCTAAAGATCCGTGAATTTAGACCGGGTCTGGTGCAGGTGCGAGCAGTTGCATACTGCTGCTAGAATGCGCAATCTGTAAAAGCATCGATTTTTATATGAACAATTTCATGCGGCACTTTTTTCTATACATATGATGAAATCGAAAAATCTCTTTTCCGATTTCAATGATTTTTAAATATATTACAGAGAAGGAAATTCTGAACTAATTTTTTTTTTTTTTTTATATTGAATCGATCTTAGTTTTTGAGATATTTGTAAAGAAAGATTGCCATTACATTGCTCTTAGAATTTGATGTCTGCACATGTATATGTCATGGCAAAACATGCGACTACTATTTATCAATCGTTATATATAAATATAAAATTTTTTTGTTATTGAATTATTTTAAATTATTATAATAAATAGATTAAACTTATAGTATAAATGCAATTGAAATAGTATTTGCAGTTTTTTAATTGGTTTGCCTAAATTGTTGAAATAAAATTGTCTTATTGCAATCTCTTAAAGTTTGGTTTATTTCCTTTCTTCCTTTCTTTCTGTCTCCTCTTTGTAAGAAATGGCAGAAAAAAATGGTAGTTTTCTCGAATCGGTTGAAAATATTGCCAAGCATCGATAACAGAGATTAGATACGAACGAGGGGCATGGAAGTTGTTTCGAAGATAAGAACAACAGGAAGGAACAACTTTCGAGAGAGATAAATTTACCTGTTGTTTTGGTTGTTTGTACGACTTCCTGGCGTAGACTTTGAGAACTCTGCAGTTGCACGCGACGGACAGCGCTACAGCTAATCCCTGGGTCGATCAATCGATGGACCAACCATGCAAAAGATACATATAATGCACTATAGAATATTGGATAAAAAAGTTCGAAACTAGAGGACATATAGTGACATCTATGAGAGACATTAATTCTTTCTTCTGATATGTTTTGACTGAAACCTAAGGTTTGTTTATGTTCTGTGTCGAACGTGAAGAAGGAAAATAAGTAAAAGATGGCTGAGAGTTGAGGTATTCGAAAAGTATATCAGTGAGGCAATGCTAATGCAAAGGTAAAATTTTTTTATTCTTGATTTTTTCTTGATTAAAGTTTCACCACTGCAATTTCTGAGATTTTTCTGAATTAAATAAGATAAAAAATATATACAATATAATATAATTTAGATTATATTCATTTGTTTAAGAGATAGTCATATTATCATAAGAAGAAAGTCATATTATCACTTGTTAAATATGTAGATATAATTTGAATTATATCATTTATTGATTTTATTTTAATCAAAGAAACTTTACAAATAAAAATTTTGTTAATTGGAGATAATAATTTTATATTGCTCACGTGACGAGTTTTCCCATGTAAAGTAATATCTCCCTGGATTTTTTATAGCTATCATTAGTTGATTTTGCAATTATAAAATATTTGTCTATATGTATAATGGCTACAAAAAATATTTGCATATCATTATATTTATTATTATAGTATTTATTTACTAACTTTTAAAGACTATCATTAAAATTGTATTTTATTTTGATGTTATCGAAAAACAAACATTAATTTAACATTAATTTTATGGATATCATAGAATTTGAATAAATATCCATTGCTTAGAATTTTTAACGATATATTGAATTGATGAATTTTCAAAAATTATAAATGGAAAAATAAAAATATTTTTTTGAACAGACAACAGAATATAATGTAATGAAAATGAAGCTATCTCACTTTATCTTCATCTAACACAAATTTCAATTGCTTAAAATATAATAAATTAAAGAAGCGATATTTTTGACCAAGTTTTTATTTATTCTTATCAGATCGATTCAAAATTGATTCTCCCACGAATACATTAATCATACACACACACACGAATGAATGTTATAAAGAATTATTTTTCTTATTAAATCAATATATTATAATCTATAAAATATTATGCCATAAGAAACAATATACTAGTACAAATTATAAATTATTTTTTTAGAAATCAATGAAAAAAATATAATAATTTTAAAAAATATGACTTTTTTTTTAATTAAATTGTTATAGATATTTTATTTTTTTAGTGTGAAGAAAATTTTGTGGTAAATTTCAAATTCTTAAATACATGATATTATTATAGTATTGGAATTTTTGTTTTGACAATATGTTGATTTACAAAAAAGATTGAGAATCGTCGTTGCATTAAAAATTACATGATTTTATTTTATTTGAAAAAAAAAATTAAGTTAATTTTCACATGATTTATATGTCCAAAACATTATTAACATCAATATTTTTCTTTGCATTATTCACTTTTTATCTGGAATATTTTTTAATATTACTATATTAGAAACAAGCGAGATATTCTAATCACATTATTTTCTTTACAATTGTCATATGTTAGTACAAGTATTACATAGCATGAATATTATAGCACTTAATACAAATATTATATATATAAGTCATAATATATTTTCTAAGTTTATATATTTACTTAGTGAAAAACGTGAAATGATTTTCAATGGAAATTGAAGGACAAAATAATCTAACTAAGAATCGCGTGGTCACGTAAGTACTTGCTTTGGCTTTCCCCCCTAGGGAACAATAGAATGGTTAGAAATAAAAAAAATCAAATACAGTTCAAAAAAGTTGTTAAGAAGAGAAAGGAAATTGCTTCGTTCATTAAAACAGCCAATAGTTTTGATAAGATTCGATTTGATTGATAAAGTTCAGCAAACAAACATTGTTTAGTAGAATATTAAATTCTTTATTCATTATGCTCCGAGTTCTTTTACTTTAGAATTTCTGTTCGAGAATGATCCTCACTGCTAGAGGGGGAATTCTTTCTTGGAATGTGAAGCGTATAATTTCACACTAATAACAGTAAATAAAACATAAATTTCTTTAAATATTTGGCCTTTTAATTTCTCTTTGTTTTTTAGTAACAATTTACTATCATCGTCTATCGACTAATTGTAAAATGAAATAAATTAGAATTTTATGTCTCTAATAATTAAATACACAATTAAATAGAACATTGAACATTTAGTGACGAAAATTATTGAATAATTTGAAAATTTATTTTTTTTTTATATTAAGATTTATAAATTGATTATTAATTATTTCTTAAAATATTATGAATTTGTAAACTAACTAATATTACTTCATTGACTTTAATGATTTCAAAATATATTTTAAATGTTTTTATTTTGTAAGAAATAGTTAAAGTATAATAGTTTATATATGATGTAATTTTCTTTTAACAGAATATCTTCTGAAGAAATGCTTAAATTTTCAGTATTCTTTTGTATCTTAAATACAATAATATAAGATAGTATAAGATAGAGCTGAATTTTAAAGTATTTTTTTTTAAATTTTTAGAAAATTCTATTCAAAAAATGAAAGTACTAAGAGAGTATCAAAAAACTTTAAAAATTTCATTTCCTCAAAGAAATTTCCTATTAATAAAAATATTGTTTAAATATAGCTTATATATTATGTTTTGTATGAATTTTTATTAAAATCAGGATTTTTGAATTAGATTAATTTTTGTATAAGATAATTTTCGAATATTTCCGAAAGTTACTGTACATAATTAGCATTATTAATCGATAGAATTTCACATTGATTACGTAAAAATATATTTCATATTTTGATTTGAATTTGTTATATTTTTTTCGATAACACAAATATGAATATCAACTAAAATATACGTATAAATTTTGATATGAAATAGTCATTTTGCGATTATCGATTACCAATAACTATCATTAACCACTTCAATTGGTTTATAATTTTTGACATAACTGCCAAATATTAAAAAATGTTTAAAATGTTAGAATTGAAGTGGACAATGCAATATCGAAACAAATTCGCAACGAAATTTATGCTTCAAATGACAATTGTCATTCAACAATCATAGATAATCGATCATAATCGATGATAATCGATCATAATTTTATTAGAAAAATATAATTTTTCTAATAGATATGTGAAAATAAGTAGAATATAAATCAGAAAACAAAGATAAAAACGCTTTCAAATTAAATATTTTTTTTAAATATTTTAAAATTAGTTTCAATATTTCTTTTCAATTCTGGCCATAATGAATAAATGCGTATAAGGATATTTCTTGGCAAAAAGTTTTTTGAAAGAAAAGCGATAAATTTGTCTCTCGTACAATAAATTCAAATTATAATATTTTATAATAATTTTTATTTAATTAATATTTTTTTTATAGAAAATATCTTCTTTATAGAGTTACATCGATGGATGTTGTGTTAAAAAAAAATATATATATAATTCACTCACAAAAAACAAAATTGACACGTAACCTTTTCTCACGAAAAATCTAATAACACAATATGCTTCTTTCAATAGCACTTAACTTTTATCCGAAACATTTTTCACTGTCAATCAAATAAGGTACTCTTTATAACCTTCAATCGGAACATATTTTTCTTTAAAGTTAGAAGAGAGATATAACTTATTTATAATTATTATTATTTATTATTATTTAACTACGTAAAACAACAATATAATTCAGTAAAAATCAATTTTTTTTTAAAAAGATGTTTATACTTTTGCTTTCATTTTGTTTCTTTTATATATCTTTTATATATCTTTTATATATTTTATCATAATATTATATATTATCATCATAACCAGCAAAACTTCTTTCGAAACAACAAAAGTTAACAACATAATATAACAATAACAAGTTCATAGGAATCAATCTTTTTAAAGAGACTTTGCTTTTATTCCGTTTCTTCGTTTCATCAAATGAAATTTTCGACTGAAACATTACATACCAAGCAGAAATAAGATTTGGTTTGTTATGAAAATTTTACGATTTCCTTTCTAGAAGGATATTCTTGAGGCTTTTTTGCACCCTTTCTCCAACGGAATAGGTAAAGTACCAGCAGCGAAACAGCATCAGTTTCAACAGTAGTTTTGGCTTCGTTTCGTATGAATAATTCGGTTTCGTTATGGTACAGATGTTTCGCATTTACCAACCGTTTGCCTTGAAACTCACGTGCCCCAATTTCCAACCATCTTTCGCCTATGCTCCAAAGCGTCTTCTTTGAGAAATTGCCTTAAGTGAATGTGTTTTGGACTGTATAATAATGTATATTTTTATCATAAGAGACGTAAATCTTCAATAGTAAACGGGATAATGGGATTATTGCAATTTTTGAAATAATATATCACATAATATAATACTTTGAAAAATGTAGCTTTGTTTGATTTGTACTTTTAAAAAAATACAAGATCCTCTTTAAAACAGATTTTATAAAAATAAAATTGTTGGATAAATTATGCTACAAAAAGTGTGCTTCAGAAGTGTTTCAATGATGAGAAAAATATTAATATTAAATACATATATGAAGAAATTACTTGAAAAAGATATTGAAAAGTAAATAAATATTTTTTTAAATTATATAATAAGAATTCAAAAAACTTTCTCTACATATCTTCCATAAGTTACTGAATAATATATTTCAGGATATGAGAAAATAAATATTAAAATTGTAGATTGATATTAATATTTACTTAAAATGATATTAGTTGTAAGGAAATATTATATTTTTAATAAATTTAATATAAATCTTTGATTAAATTTTTTTAAGCACTAAACAATAATAAAAATATTATTTAAATCAAATTTACATTAAATAATATTACAACATTATTGTTATAAACTACAAGAAATGTATTTAACAATATAATTCACTATATAATTTTTTTCAAAATATAAATTTGAAAACAAATTTCTAATAATTCAAGAAAAATATAACAGTTTAAATATTTTCTTTTTAAAATTATTTATTGTATGATTTATAATTAGTTAGAAGAAGAAATCATTATGAAAAAAATATTAAATATTTAAAAATATTATAATTGTGATATTAAAAGTAAATTTTAAAAAAATGCTATTAAATAAAAATTGGCAAGTGTTCGAAGTGTAAATTATAAAAATGTAGATTATTACAAATGAAATAACTGCTTTTGAATTTAAATTACGCAATTGTATATTTAAATAAAATTGTATAATCTCTGATGATTAGCATCACGATACAATTATATTATTTTTTTATGACGAAATTATTTTATTTTAAAAATTTAAAGATATAAAAATTATATTCAATAAATTATAATAAATTTTTTTATTTTTAATTGTTTTCTGAAAAAATATTTTAATTGTTTTTTAAATTAATTAAAAACATATTCATTAAAATACATTATAATTCTTTGAATGCAATTTTATATTTTCTTGAAAATCATTTTCAATTATTATACAATTTAAATAAAATGTATATATAGATATAAATATAGATATTTTTTTGCACATGAAATATATATATTTTTTAAATACTATTACACCCATTTATACTGCAACGCCATATTGAGTAAAAGAAGTCAGGCGGTAAAGGCGGGAAGTTCGAATTGTGAGAGACAGCAATTTCATTTGTAATTTATATTATTTATTATCAAACAATTATTAATTACCTGAAGAGAATGTCCAGTGCAGAATACAGCCCAAAGAAAAGGGATTTTCCATATCCTAGATGCAACACCGCATCCAGCTACGAAACCCACTATCATACACACTTTTAAAAATAGAATCATTTGCAACGCTCTTCTCCTTTTCATCTTTTCGCGTTGTTTTATTTCCAATTGCATACTGCACGTGTATCTGCGCAAACAAAATCGAAGGACATTTTGTTAAAATATTAAAAAAATATAATACATTTCGGTCGAAATGATCATAAGATAATTATAGAAAAGATAAATATAAAAATATAACGAAATATTATCGATTTCATGTGTTTTATATCGCCTGTTTTCTTATGTTAACCAAACGAGAACGTACCGATATTTAATTTGTATAAAAAGGAACAGAAATACAGAGCAATAATCAGATGCAAATTAATTTGAGTGAAAAACTAGTTTATATCAATATGATTGAAAAAATATAAAATGAAGGAAGAATACACGAAGGACAAGAAATTAATCTACATTGTAAAATTGACAAGAAAAAAAAAGATAACCAATTGTGTTTCCAAATGGCATCCAACTATGTGTCCAATAACTTTGATGATCAAACAAGAACCAATATTATCTATTTACATAATATGATCATTGGTTAAAATTATTATTTATATATTACTAAAATATATGGTATAGATGCAATATAAAAATAATGTATAGGAAAATATAGATTAAAAATGATTTAATTAAACGATTAAATATGAAAAAATATTTTCAATAATATCTTGTTGAAGTATAATGAAATTTTATCCAATTGTAAAACTAAATTTTCTAAAATATATTATACTTTTACTTTATTAGTTGATCAATTATATTACGATATTGAGGAAAATGAATCCTTCAAATAGATAATATAAAAATATTTTTATTTCTTGAAAAATGATATGATGAGAATTTTGCGGATAAATTTTTCTTAAAATTTTTAAGAGTGGCACTGAAATTAAACATATAGTATACAGCATCTTTAATGTTTATTGCGTTTTGATTAATCGAAAGATAAATATTTGATTTCAAATCAAATCCGAATTACCATGGTTTAATATTAAATGAAATAATATTTTCAAATTATTATTTGTTTGTAGAAATATTTCGATTTTCTAATATTTACATTAACTTATTTCGAATTTTGTTCAGCTAATTATATCTGTTTTATGTTCATTTCTATTATCGTAATTAAAAATTCAATATAACATAATATAAATTTAAAATATTTTTGCAATATGTCGAAGAGAATATATGTACAATAAAATACAACAGAACATGGATTATTCAAAATTTGGATATTCAAATGACCGAAAACGGAATAAATATATATATTAAATTTCATTCTGGAATACACATTGCTGGGATAATATAACATATGATTAATTTAATTTATATTCTTTCTATAATTTTTATAATTTTTTTCTAATTGTTTCTCTTACTAAACATATATTCCTTTATATAATAAATATCCATTATTCAAAAATTATTTAATCTTTAATTGTTTTGTATTTTGAGTTTAAAAATTTAATTCCTGTTCGAATTTGTTCTCCAATCAAATTGACTTATCTGAACTGTACTATATGAATGTAAATATTAATTTCATTAATAAGCAAAAAGTATTGCTTATTACATAAATTATAATTAAATAGTTTTAATAATTATTTATATATTTATTATTTTTATTAATATTTATATATTCATAAAATTCATATATTCATATAAAATATACGAAACAAACTTATTAAATTAATTCATACTCTTCTCATAATCATATGTTGGTTGAATATTTTATTGTATTCATTTATTTGTATTCTTCAATAATATTTAACACTTTTCATAATTACTTAAACAATATTAGATAAATAACTTGTGAAAAGACTAGTCTATTGTTAATTTCAATCACTCATTCACTCTACAATATAGATGTAGGCATACATTGATCGATTCAAAAAACGTTTTTTATTTAATCAACCAAACAAGGAAACAGTGACAGAAACTCGATTCAATTTGTTTGCTCCGATAAACAAATATGGCATCCACATATCACTTCAATGTGTACTCAATTTTTTTAAATGCCAAATTCGATCTATCAATATTGAGTTTCTCAATAATTTGATTGGTCATGAAATTTAAGGATTATCGTAAAAATATTGTACAGAATATCATCATCTATAATGGAAGATTGATTAAAATATGCTTCATCAAGATGGAAATCAATCATTTTGATAATTCGAATTGTATTCAATATAATATCTTGATATTATCAAGATATCT